GGCTGGTCTTGCTGTTTCTGAGGCAGTTGTTTGCTTCTCAGGGACATGTTCGATGCTCCAAACAGCGATGCTTTTCATGCCGTTGCACTGTTCTTGTTTGCTAAGCTGGATCCCTCACGTGCAGCAGAAATGTTAAGGTAAGTATTAGGCTCGCACACTTAGTACTGTGAATATAGTCAAGAATGACGGGCAGGGTTGTGGAACACGAAGTGGTCTGTCTTTTGAAAAACAAATATTTTCAGATAGCTTCTGCCCTGGCCAAAACTTTGTGATGTGCCAGAACAGCTTACCTTAGTTAAGCCAGGTTTTAATGGTGGCTTCTACTTTGCTAATTCTGTAAAGGTTTTCATAGTTGCCAAGTAGTCTCTCTCCCATTTTTTTCCTGACCAAACATTTGAAAAACCTTGCTAGTTAGAGATTGCTCACGGAGTAGTCAACATGAGAAAAACAAAAAACAAACTAAAACTTCACACCATAATAGCTGAGTTATTTTAGTTTACACATGAAAAAGTCTGAAAGGAGAGACTGGAAATCACAGAATCAGAGAATAGTTGAGGTTGGAAGGGTCTTCTAGATATCATCCAGTGCAACCCAGCAGGGGTGTCCAGCAAGGGCCTTAGAGCACATGGCACAGGGTGGCATCCAGGTGGGTTTGGAAGATCTCCAGAGAAGGAGACTCCACAACCGAAGATTTTCAGCCCTCAGACAGTTGTTTTCTGAATTTAAAAGAACTGCAGATTAGTCTGAAAGACTTTGCAGTCCGCATGTTGGGAAATAAAACTTTGTCATTTAATGACCTTTTAGCTATTCTGGATGTCAGATGTAACCCTTCATTCTCTGCTTCTATGCGGCACAACCAAGATCTTTGCCTCAGTTGAGTTTTATAGTGGTTAATTTTATAACTGACCAATTTTTGATTTTTTTTTCTTTTCTTTCCTTTTAAATGGGAAGAGAGTACTCACTTCAAGGAGATCCTGAATTTAGGAAGCAATGCTTTGCCTGGTTAAAAGAAATTGCAGTAAGTTGGAAATTAGTATTCTAGTGGTTCCTGTGACTTCTTTAATGGAGAGTGCATATGGTGCTTTAGATTTTTAAGACATCAGGTAAAATTGAATTATTTGGTAGGAAAAAAAAACATTTCATGTAGTTTGCTTTGAATCTTTTTTGAGAAGAGGGTTGTGATATGATGTAGTTAAGATTTAACCCAGACCATCCAAGGATTAAGGATTGGATTTGGGTTACATAAAATTAAACAGAAGTTTGTAGCAGGGTCCTGAACTCTATCTGTCTGTCTATCTATCTATTTATCTATTTATTTCCTTCAAAGATAAATGTTACCTGCCCATTCCGTAGTCAGAACTTCTGTGGAATATCTGTAAACCTTTAGTCTCTTCCATTCGTTCAAGTCTTTGTCATCATGTTAGCAAAGTAGTTAAGCTTTGCCTCAGACTTACTAGCAGGCACATCTGCAGTGTTTTGATACCCAGCTAAATATTTGGTAGGTGCTTAGGTGTTATTTCTTGGATTAATTCTGTATTAAAATCAATTTCCTTTCTTCCAGGAGGAAAGTAAAAGCACTTTTCCACAAATTACACCGTCTTTATTTCTTTCTCCTGCTGGTCCTAAATTTATTAATGTAATGTATCAATTTGCAAGATACGTATTGATTCAGGGTATAAAAGTAAACTCTACAGGTAAGCATAAGGAAAACTTGATTTCTAATATTTGATGGTGTTCCTGTTAAAATTTTAATGAATGCCAGGAGCTTTGGTAGGCCTGAGCTGACTGCTGGTTCTAGATCATTTATAGGGTACACTTACACTGAGCAGCTGCTAGAATAGAGTGCAGCTTGTTTTGCTTGCTCTTGCTTTATGGCTCTTGCTTTTAGAAAGTTTATGTATGTAATGATGTAGTTGTGTGTGTGTGTGTACATGGGTGTAGTGGTATAAATATATACGGGCATAGCAGTAATGCTTTGGTCCAAAAGCAGATTTTCATCCCGTGGTGTTTCTTACTGTTTGAATACTGTTGGATTTTTCAGGGTTGAGAACTATATATTCCGGAGGGGGAGAAGGGGTGAAAGTGAGGGAAGGAAGATCTGCAATAGAAAAGAGTTGAAGAACGAATTGTGTGCTTAAGATCAGGTTAGAATAGGAATTTGTATTCCCATCTGTAGTTTAAACCAGACGGATGAGAAGGTTGTCTAGTTTGATAGGAAGTGAATATGCAATAAAAATACTAGCTTTCATTTAGGCACTGATATACCTTTTGCTGATGTTGCTAACTTAATGGAAGACAATCCATGCTTGACAAAAGCAAGATACAGAACGGCATATAATAAACTTCTGCAGATACTTCAAAAGAAAGATTTTATAATTCGAGAGCATAAGAAGAAAAAAATGTAAGTAATGCATTTAAAAAACTGGTTATTTTCCCAGAAGCTAATGTTCCTGTTTGTTAGCTTTTCAGTTACAAAATCTTCCCCAATAGCTTTTCAAAGATGACAAGTTTGGCAGTCATGTCAGCCAGTTCGTGCTACTCTTGTGTGCATCCCGTCAGTTAACAAAGTTTTGTGTCTAGTTTGTACAGATAGACCCAACTGTTTACTTCCTTTCAGTAGTTCACAGTTCGTTTCCTTGTTGCTATTTGGTGTAGAGGCTTGGGGACTGACTTTCTCTATGAAATCTGAAACAAAAATTGCATCAAGTATCTCACCCTGTGACACTTGCCACTAACTTGTCATTCCATGAAGAAGTGGACATAAATCCACCTTGTATCCTCCCTGATTGCCACTATCATACTCTCAAAACCCTTGCCAATTTGAGCTGAGCATGACCACTGTCAGCAAAAAAGGCCAACTGTATGCTGGGCCTTGTAAACAAGGGCATAGCTATCAGGTTGTGCTTTTTACTTTACTGGACATTTCTTCGGTGACACCTGTAATACTGAATAAGGTTGTCGTTCCCCCATGCCTTTCCCTCCCTGCACCACCATGCTGAAGCGTCGAAATGCTGAAAGTGTCGAAGACTTGCTCAGATGGCCACCAGTATGATTAGAGGTTTGCTGAACTTAATGCATGGTGAAAGGTTGAAGAAATAATTTCCTTAGTCTGAAGAGATAAAGATTGGAGTGTGGGAGATGTCAAATCCGAGTCTTACAAACCCCTAAAAGTAGTTAGAGTTACCCTTTTCACAAGGGGGCATGCTGACAGTCAGTGCCAGAGGCAATTGCTACAGGTTACTTAAGGGAAAGACCTGACTGCCTTAAAAGTTCTGCTTTCGATGGAAGCTTGGGCCAGGTGAGTTCTAGGTATCTCTCTCCTAGGCTTTTCTAGGAATTCTGAGACTTGTGACCTATCTCTCTGTTTGGGAAGCATTAATGACTTTGCTTTCCCATTGGATGATTTCTTAAAAAAAAACTGCTTTTCTGTTTTTTCCACTCTTAAAAAGGCATCAAACCTCTAAAGTTCTTTTAGAGCTAGGTATGCCTTGGGCATCCTGTGCTTCTCACAATCTGTTTTTGCATGGTTATAAAACTGTCAAATGTTCAGATTCGGAAAGAATGAGTATGATAAATTATTATGGAATTTTAGGATTAGTAGAGCAAAATTGTTTTTAAAAGGTGCACCTGTTACTTTTCTTTCTAGGTGCCTAAATAAAGAAATAAGGAACTTAAAACTTGAATCTGCAGCTATGAGGGTGTGGCTTTTCAAGTAAGTATTTCTTCTTATTAATAATTTACCTATACAATTACTTTCTCACACACTTCTATGAAATACTATAAGCTATAGTTTCATTGTAGTTTGCTTGAACTTTTTTTTGCATGTGCATGTAGGAAGAAACAAAATCACCAAAGCAAAATTGACAAAACTGAGGCAACTCGAAAGGTGAGCACTTTTCTACTGTAACAGATTACAGTTTAACATTTTTCCAGCACTTTCTCTCGGATACTGATGCTTCTATCTGTGACTATATTGGCTGTTCTCTCACATATTTATGCTCTGATACTCTACTATCACAGACGTTAAGGCAGGCATTTAACATGTTTTTGTCGTCCTTGCTCATTAAGGTCCGCAGTATGTGGACGTTTGTCATGGATACCCTTGCATCTTTGAAAACGGAAAAGAAAGTGGTAGATTCTGTACTTGAAGGTCATGCTAACCAGTATACTTTAGATGGAACTAATCTTCATATCAGTATTCCCCAGTCGTTGATTAACAGAATTGAAAGTGAGAGGGACAAGGTAAGTGATTTGTCATTCATGTTGAACTCTCTCTCTCTCTATATATATATATGTATGTGTGTGTGTGTGTATATATGTATATATACACTATATATATATATATATATACACTGTAACTATAAACATACTCAAGCCTCTTAAAGGCTGGGGGAATGATAAGTGTGCTTGCTTACTTGCTTTCCTGGCAAGTCAAAGAAGTTTATGGTTATGCTGCTTTAATATCAGTTGTTTCAAATATTATTTTTGTTTTAAAACCCAGAAATCAACACTGCTTTGATAATTTTGTTTGATTAATATTTCAGTTTTTGTTGATCAGATGGCTAAAACTAGGTTGGCCAATCTAGCTTTTGGTCCTAATGGGTTTTTGTTTCCGGTATGCGGTATGAAAAGCACAAAAGCACCAGACCAGTATTATTTTCAGACCTCTACCAGATAGCTGGTTAGCTGAAGTGAGGTTACTTCATATTATTTATAGCCTGCTTTCCAAGTAGTTGATGCTAGTCTGGAATAGAAGAGCTGAGGCTGGTGTTTGGACTGTCTTTTAAAAAATGAGACAGTCAGGAACAGAATCTAAGCATTGAGTGAGACTTTGGCCCTGCGCTGAAGTACAAAAACTGTAACTGTCTGGTACTGATCCATTGTATCTTGTCTGCTGATGCTTTTATTTTTTTCCCCTTCCCCTCTTGGTTGCAACATCTGAAGCTGTGCATAGAAAAAACATATGAAGAGGAAAAAATGAATTTCTTGACAATTGTTCAATTATTAAATGAAGCCCTAAGAATCTTTAGAGATGAACTTAATCTTAAATCAGAACGTCTTCAGCATATTAGGAATGAGATTGAACTCCGAAGTAAAATAATAGTAAATTTGAAAGAAATAAGGTAATTTTCTGCAGTTTCTTGCTCTCTAGTCTGAGGATCATGTCTTACTCTCTTGGAGTCCTTTCTGAAATTAGTGTCATTTGTACTGAGAACACATTAGTTTGGTCTTTCCTTTGTATCTTAGAAATTCACATATTTTTCAACTTAATTTTCTCTGAATAACTTTAGCTTTAGGATTTTTTTTTAGTTCTTCCTATTTCACTTTAAAAAACAAAGATAACCTAAGCAGCATTTTTAAAAGATTTTGCATTTCAATTCTTCTGTTACTGCATGCACAAATAAGTTATTACATCCTAAAGGTTTCTGAGGTTGTTTGTTGTCTTTGCCAATAGATTGCTTCATATTCAACCTGCGTTTTTCTTGCTCTTATGTTACAGCCAAAAAGTAGAGCAAGAGTATTTTGTGTCAGCAAGTGAATCTGTTTCTCAAAAAAACAAGGAATGGGAAATGAAGTGGAAAGACTATCTTGGTCGCTCTCCTTTTTGCTTAGCTACAGATAAGGATCCAGTAAGTAATTTTCATTTAATTCTGGGAAAAGGAGGTGAATCTGAAGGAGGTTACATGCAAGTTAGTGTGTTCCTTTGCAACAATTCCTTAAATCTTTAGATAGTGCATCTTAAGCAAAATATAGTATGAATTGTTTTATTAGATCAAGTAGTTGTTCTTGAAGATCTGGTCATTTTAATGACAGCTGATGTCCTAATTTGTGTGGGAGACAGAACTGTCTTGTGCCAGTGGATCAGTGTACTAGCAGCTCACTGATGGTTGTATCCTGCACTGATTTTGGCATTCTGTGAAACTGTTCCAGTCAGTCACAAACATCTGAGTTTTTTGTTCACCCTTTTAAAATTCTCTTCTTAAGTGGACAACAGCTTCCCTTCTTATGCTCATGCTGAAAGTGAAATCAAAGGTCATAACTTTAAATCTATATGTGCAGAGAGCAAGCTTGTCATTGAGTCTGACCACTAATGTGAAAATGCTGATGTCAATAATTGTCTGTTAATTCCTTTTAAAATGCCTTTTTTTAAAGTTGTGTAATTTGTATGCTTTATTTTTTTTTGTTGTTGTTTGCTTGTTTGTTTGTTTTCCTGAAAGGAACTACGTGCGTTACCAGCACTGCAACCCCTTTCTTTTTATCCTGCAACAGAAGAAATGTATGAGAGCAATGACTTCTGTCAAGATTTAGATTCAGTTTCAGGTTAGTGAACAGGAGAAACTTGTCTTGATCCCACCATTCCTAGAAGTTACTCGAAATCCAGAAGACTCCCTGCTCATGTGTACATGTTTCTGTGATAAACTCTGGTGATCTAATGCTGAAAGACTGCTTGCCAGAATAACCTTTGAAATATGACATGGTGAAAGCTGTTTCTGTGAAGCTTTGACTATGACAAAAAGATAATGCTAGTGCTGTTTCGTATTTGGTGTTCAACATAACAAAGGGTATTGTAGTTTCAAAATTCAAATTTCTGTACCAGGGGTCCAGAGACATACACGCTACCTATAAAAGTTGTTTTGGTTGGGGGACTGGATGGGAGAAAAAATAGAGAGGAAGGGAAACCTATCTCCATTGGTCAAATCGGAAAAGAAAACACTTTTGTTCTTTGGTAATCTTCCTCTAGCTTCATCTTTCCAGTGTAGCAGCCGTTTTCGAAAATACTTTTACTGCTGCAACAGCAGTTTGATCAGGACCTTCCTTATTCTGCCGTTGCTCTTGCTTATTAGGTTAGGAGTGCTAATGAAAACACACTTTGATCCGATGTTTCACATTTTAATAGGCTGATAAGCCTTGTGCTTGTATGTTAACTTTTTAAATGACTGTAGCATAGAATTTTAAACTAGATGGTACAAAGCAAGGATGGAAAAGGACGGGGAAAGTGTGGTTGATACATCAATTGCAGTCCCTTTTGGGAAAAGTGACATAACCAACAGAAGTGTTGATCTTTGCCAGGGATAGGAAGGGATAGGACTACAAAGATAATAACACTGCTGCAGTAACCTGAGCATGTGCAGGTAGAAGGTTGGGAGTTGCCAGTGAAAGACCCCAGAACTGACAATGGAAGACCCTTTGCTTTTTCAAATTACAAAGATTAAAGAAAGCACTGTGCAATAATGTTGTGTCATAATATCAGAAGGCTTGAGAGAAAATGGTATCTACAAAAAGAAGACTTGTAGTATTTAGTGCTTCTTTCTGGCTGCTAACATGGTGAACGTTTTAAAAATATGTTTACCTCAACTTTCTTCTACTTGATTTAGATTTTGTGAGTATTGTTGAGATGAGAACCAGGGGTGAGAGTGACTGGACTCATGTCTTCCTAGGGGTACCAAATACTGTGGTAGCTACAGGCCCCACTCTGGTAGCACCAGATTCATGAACAGTCTGTCGACTGACTGTAGGCCCAAAGGCAAGTGCAGAGTCCTGCAGCTAGGGTGGGATGACTCCATGCACCAGGACAGGCTGGAGCTGACCTGCTGGAGAAGAGCTCTGTGGAGAAGGACCTGGGAGTCCAAAGCCAGATCTGGGCCCAGCAATGTGCCTTTGTGGCCAAGAAAGCCAGCAGGATCCTGGGCTGCATTAGGATGAGCACTGGCAGCGGGGCATGGTGAACGTTTTAAAAATATGTTTACCTCAACTTTCTTCTACTTGATTTAGATTTTGTGAGTATTGTTGAGATGAGAACAGAAGAGAATGGCATTTATCTTCTCAGAAGTAAAAAATGGTGTTATTAAGAAACTTTGTAGCAAAACGTCTTTTCACCAGAAATCTATACCAAAATCAGGATATATTGTTGGGAAAGTCCTGATCTGGTGTGCGTGTACGTCTGGTATCGTTCAAAACACTTGTGTATGTCACGTGCCTTGTGTCTGGGTTGAAGCAGTGGTCTCAGCTCTGAAGGATAAGTATGTCCACAGGGATAACTGTCAGTTTGCAGGACACGGGTAAACTACACGACTGCTTGTAGTACCGGAGCAAAGGGATTAAGAATGTCTTTTACTGCTTAGGCATTTACTTCCTTTGTAATGATATCTACACTTCAAGAAAAATAATCTTTGAGTTGTGCAGCAAATGTGAGTTTAAAGAAACAGAAGCCATAGCTCTAGCTCTGACATTTCTTTTCTGGATCTTCTTGAATCAGTCTGTGGTGGAAATCACGATGAGGAGGATGGCGAGGCACTGAAAGATGTGATGGATGAGTCAACATTAACACCAGAAAGAAGGTATGACTTTTTAATATTTTTAGCAGGCAATAGATAAAGAGCTGGAAAGCAAGCTGGACATCCACATCTCAAAGGGCTCTGATGGGATGCACCCAGAAGTGCTGCAGGAGCTGACTGGTGTCCTGAGAGCAAGAGTGCCAAGGAAAAGTAGGGTATGAAGAAATCTGCAGAAGTCTTTCCCGCAGAATAGATTTTTTCACAGAAATGTGTTGGAAAAACCTTTCTGGTTGGCAATCCAGAGAGTAATTTTGGTACTTTTCTGGTTTGGGAGGATGATACACAACTAGGGCTCAATCTGCTCTAATTGTCACACATTCTCCCTATAGTAACTTTCCCTGCCGATGACCGGGACGAAGCGAGAGAACTCGTAACGGACAGATACGAGGTGCACAGTGCATAAGTGGATTCTTTGTGATTAGTTGCTTATGGGATTTGCATGCTGCTTGTTCTGTGTTTTTTTTTTTTTTAATTATTATTATTATCTCTTCTCTGTGTGATGGCAATTTGTTTTCAGACTCTCTCGAGGATCCCAAGGATCTTCAGAGTCGATAAACTCATTTGAAAAAAGCAATGAGTCGCTTGAACAGGTTAGTCTTCAATATTTTTCTGCCTTTCAAAGAAGTTAAATTTGGAAATAATCTTTCTTATACATGGTTTGAAGCTTGACCTTGCGACAGTGAGAGCTTAGCACTGAATCAGTCCTAAGTCATAAGAAATAGCTTGGATTTGGATGTACAATTTGGATGTACAATTTGGATGTGCAATTTAGTACTTCAGCATATCCACTGTAGTTGCAGAGGATCACCAGTAGGTATTCCGTACAGGGCTGTACTCCCTGATTATGTACTCCCCCTCCCTGATTATGTGCCGCTTTAAATACAGTGTGAGTCAAAATATTTCATTTAGCTAGGATTTAAGATTTTAAATATTCCGTCGATAAAAGTACTAAGGCCATTGCTTTTTGACTTTTGTGTAGTAATTCATTCATGCTAGTTTTGACCTTGACCTCAGAATTTCTAATAATCCCTGTGTATTTCTCTAGGCCTCCTCTACTGTAATCTTCAATAGTGAAAAACAGCCGACCTCTCCAAATGTTTTGAAATGCGAAATGGATGAACCTGCCATTGTAGAGGCAGGGGAGAATGAAGATGCTGATATTATCCAGAGAGAGTGCACTCTCAGAGAAGACCCTCTTGAGAAAGCTCGACAACAACTGGCAGAAGAGGTTAGAAATAGTTGTTGTTTAATTTTCTTCTGTTTGTTTGACATGAATGGCTTAAGAGTTCAGACAGCAGGTGACAGAATATAACACAAAGTAATGTATGCCTCAAAACTCCTTAATTCTTGTTGGTAGTAATCTTTGCTAATAACTTTAGGGGAAGATTATGCAATGAAGTAGATCCTGAAAGCATAGCACTTTGGCACTTCTATAGTTCATGTAGTTTACATGTTCTTGAAGTGAATGCTGCTCTTACGATGGATAATTTTTGTAACCCAATATGTATGCCTTTTCTCAGCTCTTAAATGTATCAACCCCTGCATGGATTGGCAGTTCAGCATTCATTTTTGGTTCTGAAATTACACAATCAAGATATTTGGCAGGTGTCTTGTGAGTGTGACTTGTGAGTTTTAAGCCAGGTTTAAAGTGTTTTGTTCCAAATCTCGACTGAGGAATTCTTTCACAACACTTTCATACAATATGCAACAACTTGATTTGGAAAATAAGCTGCATCTTTCATGGAAGGGGTGCTAACTTCCAGGTGCCGAAATCCTTGCATTTGTCATTATAGTTCTAGTCTTCCTACCTATGGAGTGCTTGATTAGTGTTTCAAATACGTTCTTGCTAGGTACATTTTTTCTTATTTCAAAGATGGGTTAACAGAAGATGAAGGAAATGTAGAACAGAACTGTCACCAATTCCATATCTTAATCATGTGCTTGTAGGATGCAGTTCTGTACACCCTGTCCATTGTAAGCCCACACACTGCTCTAAATTGCAGGAAAGTTGGGTGATTCTGAACACTCAGGTCACGCAAGGAGTGGGGCATTCTTTGGAGCCATAGTTGACAGAAATAACTGTAATTATGCATTTTCTGTACTTGCTTTTCCCTAACATTCTCTAGGTTGCAAAAGCAGTGATATACGACTCACCGCAGAGTAGTGGAGAAAAAGGAAAGGAGCTGGAAGATCTCATTAGCTCACTGTCTTATGACCCCTTTATCGCAAGAAAGCAAATTCCCCGAACTCCAGAAAATCTACGTAAGTCTAGAACTTTGTTTTTTGTAACAGGATTTGACTTAAAAATTTGATTAGTTCATTGACATTGTACATGTCATGCAAGCAGAAAAAAATCATTTGGCTAAACTGTAAGTTTTCCTAATAGTTTACTTGATGTATCAGGACATAGTCTGCATATGACTTGGAGTTGATTTCCTACTCCCTTCTTCCCTTCACTGCCCCTGCCTCCCGGCCCATTTCCTGTCAGGACGGATTTGCCCTTTCTGTTCTGCAGAAATGTTTGGGAAAACAAAGCATAAACAGTACAAAGCCATTAAGGAGCGTTGTATTGTTACTACTGTATTATTACAAGGTTGTAATATTGTTACTATTGTTACCAGCTGACATCTGGACTTTGCCAGTGATAGGAAGGGATAGGACTACAAAGGTAATAACACTGCTGCAGTAACCTGAGC